GTTTATTTCTTTCAGAGTTTACAACTTAAACTCCCTGTTAGCAAATAAGCTTTGTTATCCTAACGACGTAGTGTTTAGGCTTAACACCGGTTTAAGCAATTAGTTGAAAATTATACCATGATCACTTTTCCAGTTTAAGGCAAAGTTTTGAGGTTACTGGGAAGTCCTTGTCGTGCAGCTTGGGTATTAGTAATAATAATAATGAACAAGTTTTTAAATGATCAAAATTCTTTCAATATAAGTACTGATTCGCTTCAATCACTTACAGGATTTATTAATGTATAAAGAAGAATTCAAATCGGAAGTCTTATTATTTATTTATTTATTTACTACTTATATTTGAGATAATTCATGATAGGTTCGAAATTCATAAATCCAGATTGGAATCGATTCAAATAATTGAATCTTAGAATCGATTAATCGTTTTTCGAATTCAAACAGCCATCAACAAGGTATAATAAACTAATAAACAACTTGTTTTTCTGAGTCAAAATTGTGTTAGAGAAATTGTGGATATCGTAAATGAATTCAAGTGACTAATTACTTACGGTTATAAGACATCGTCTCTTCTTTCACAAGATTGTTGTATTCAAATCTTATTATGTATTTATAAACAATTAAAATGTAGTTTATTAATAAGCAATTAAATAACTATGATGTAAATATTGTTCAATAAAATTAATTAATCAGTGTTGCAGTCGGTGGTCTACACTTTCGCAATTGAATTTTATTAACTCAAATAATCGCTAATCAATAAATGCTATTAATTAAAACTGAGAAAAACTATACGAAAATAAATTACATATTCGATAGGCAAAATGTTTCTTGGTCATAACATATCCTGTCAAATGTTTAAAAATGATACCTACTTTCGCGTAAATTCCTCAATCAAACCACTCTCAATTCCAATAATTCCATCCAATTATTCTGATTAGGCAGATGTATTGCATTTCTCAATGAACACACAGTGTATATATGAAAATTGCACTAAATCGTTATAATTAAACTGCGTCTCATAATTTTTAAACTATTATTACGAATATGAAAATAATATATTAAAGTACACTATATTTTATAAGAATTATGCTGAAATACGAGGCAATTTAGTTATCGGTAGAGACTTTTAATTATTTATCGAATTAATCGATTAATAAAATATAAATTATTCTTCTGTAGCTTTGTTTAAAAAAATTGCACGATACCAAATATGAGATACAAATCGATAATTGAATTTCTAATTCTTAACGGGGCGAATAATACTTTTAAAGAATATAAATTAGTTATTTAAGCAATATTTGAAAATATTTCTTTGAAATTGAATGATGCTATTAGCTTGTGTCTCCATTTCGATTTGATTAATCAATTTAGTTTCATTTATGACTTTGGTTTCAAATTTTTATCAAGCTAGTAAGTAAATATCTATATATAATGTGATCATAATCGAAAATCAATTATTATTTTTCATACAAAATTATTAATGTTAATGATTGGTTATCAAATTTTAAACGGATGCGTAATAATTGATTGTAACTTCACGGGTTACTTCATAGTTCACGGTAAGCAATACATGATGAATATTTTGCCACTTCGTGGCAATGCATTGCTCATAGTAATTGTGGAGTTATCGGCGATACCCGTAAAATTACGTTATAATTATCCGGTTCAGATAATTAAACTTTCGCTGTTGCAAATTACTCCACGGCCAAAGTATTATTATCATATGTGGTCGTGTAATTATTGAAATTAAATAATACAAATTTATTAAGTTATTAAATTATTAAAGTACAAATCATAAAATTGAAATTCCCTAAGTTAAATGAGGACTCTTTTGTTGTTAATAAAAGTTGTTTTACTAAAAAAAATAAAAAAAATCCTCAAATAAACGTATTAATTTATAAATATAGGCATTGGACTTAAGATAACAATTCATGAACTGAACCAGCGATATAATATAAATATAATTATAATAAAATAAAATTAGGTACTACACATTTAATATTGTAAATGTTTATCCAGATATTGCAAATTTGTTTCTAAATTCCTGCTTTACTAATTGACATCTATATCATGATTAAATTATTTTAATTCACCAATATGTAATAAAATAAGCAACTTTGTAAAATATCGCATGTGCAAAGGCCTTTTTTTCCCCTCTAAATAAGTGAAACATATGATAATTAGTATCTTAAGTAATACAATAATATACACTCACTTTTAACACCTATTCTTATGCCAACAGGAATGTCGTATGTCACCTCTTGTATTGCATTTGCTTCTTCGATAGATTTTACCCCAGTCAATTCTAATTTATTATCAATATCTTAGGCGGATTACAAATATTATGAATAATGATTATAGAGACCAGTATAATAAGTAAATCAAACAATTTAAAAGTTTTTATATCATACCTGATTTGCCAAATATGTTGTCAGCAAGTATTTTGAGTTCACGAGTCCAGGTCATTGGATTCATTGGCTCTGAAATAATTCATTATTAACTTCCTTTTATCAAAATATGCAACTTAATTGAAGCTTACCGTTTTCTTTAATTTTTGATTCTCGTTCAGCATGCTCGATGAGACGTTGGTTATAATATTTTTGATAAAGAGCTTCATCTTTGCGTAATGAAATCCAGAATTAAAAAGAAACATTGGATTATGAAAATTCAGTGAACCAAAGAATTGGTACTTACGACATTCATCCTGCTCTTCCAAAATTTTACATTGAATTACGGATAAGGAAGGAAGCGATTGACTTGAAATATTTCTATATGAATCAATCCATTTGCACGCTGAGTCATTCACGTCTGCTTTCTCCTTGGCAGAAATCTCAGGGCAAATCAATTGTCGATCTTTGATACTATTAATCCACGAGTCAAATCTCTTTTCTAAATCACGTGATGTAGGTCTCATGTTAGGATTGTTGTTCCAGCAAGATTGCATAACTATTGAATAGTAGTCGGGTATTTCTGAAGTTATTTCAGGACGGATTCCTATTTTTAGAATTTATCAAAATCTGTATCTATTATTAAGAATACAACTTAAGATGTCGTTACCGTGGCAAATATCTATTGTTAGAGTCACATCATATGTTCTTCCCTCAAATGGTTGCCTTCCTGACCATAGTTCATACATAATCATTCCGATGCTATATACATCAGCCGCTCGAGTGTATGGTTTCCCGAGTAAAACTTCTGGCGCAACATAGGGAAGCACGCCTTGAATCGTCTTATCATTTCTGGCAATTGAGCAAAGACCAAGATCACTAATCATTGTCCAACTACCGTGTCGTAAAATGTTACCCGTGTGCAAATCTTTCTTTGATTATAAGGAACGGTTAAATTGTCTTTTAACTTCATGGTCATATTTGCAATTCCATTTATTGGGCATAGAAAGACGCTTACATGTAGAAGGCCGTTGCTATGAATTTTATCCAATCCACTCGCAATATCCTTAAGAGTGCTGATTTTTTGTGTCCAGGTAAAGGTGTCAAAGTTTTTGGTGAGCTAATTTCGAAGATCTCCATCACGAGCATAAGATGTAACGACAATCAGCTCGCGAGTGCAAGGACAACGTGAGATACCATAACAGTACATGACGTTGCTAACCATTGTGCTGAATTTGTGATATGCGCTCAACTATAAAGATGTTCAGTAAAGCAAACTAATATAAAGGTATTCAGCGCATCATTGATAACATTTACCAACCTCATTCATGAAACTTGATGTTAAATTATTGGAATCCTTTATGCGCTTCAATATTATTAAATCCAAATTTGTCTGTCGTTCCCAATCATTGGTAGACTTATTCCATGCTTGTATAGGCCCCTGAAGCCAATTTGCCGTAAATCTAGTAAAGAAAAATTATGATCTTAGATACAGCATAAGATTATTACGATTTTCTATTATGAAGATACCTACACAGAACTATTGCCACCATCAGCAAGATGTTTTACATTTGTGAATTCTTGATATTTTATCCACTCTAAAACTGACCTAAAATTGGTAGCATGAGATTGCGCCTCTTTAATAAACCTATCAATTTCATCGTCTCCGCTTGACTAGTTCTCAAAGTTTTTCTGAAAATTTTTGCTATTGCAATACCGGCACCAGTTATACCCAGTATTTAAACCCCCGCATTCTTCGCATTGTCCAAAATTCCCTAATGGCTGTGGATTTTCTGGTTGAGAAAAGCGGACAGAAATATTGGCAAAAGTGTTATAGTCTTTGTGGGACGTGGAACTCGTCACTTCAGGATAGCTAACGGGGTGCTTTGTCATCGTTTATATATGCTTTCCGGGATATTAATGTGAAAAATTCTAGTAGTATTTATTGCAAAAGGCTTCAGTTCATTAAAAAACTTTTATTGATTTATTAATCGGCAAATAATCACGTGAAATGTAACAAAGTTGAATGAAGTTAATATCCGTTCATGTTTCACAAACTCGGAGTATTAAAATGTTCTTGGAAACAATATGGAACAAAAAAATTAATATAAGCATTCTCCCCTGAAAAAATGACCGTCTTTTCGAAAATCGAATCGAAATAATAGAATTTATTAGAGCTATAAAAAAAATTTTTTATTAAATGTTAGATAAATTATATCCTGAAATTTTGCTTTTATTGATGATAACGAATTATAAAACATTAGTAGATTGTCACAAATATAGCCAAAAATTAATTTGGAATATGATAGTGATCGTCTGCATTTATTCACATTTTCGCTTAATTTGTACCGATATTCAGTGAATTTGAAGTTAATATAGCTGTAGCTATAGCTATCAACTACAACTACAGCTGCTGAAATAGCTATAAGCTGCTATATTATCATTAGGATAAATTTATGATTTAAGCTTTCCTGTGATTATGTTAATTTAACCATCATATTTTTAAATAAAATATATTTTTAAATCTTTTGTAGATCTTTTTCTTTGTATTTAGCATGAAAATTATTACCATTTTTTTTTTGTTTTTTTCCTTTTTGTGTTACAAATTTTGCTTGCGTTACATGATATTTGTGATTTTATTAAATAGAATTTAATTAATTATATTTTTTTTACTACTTGTTGGAGTATTATTTGCTTAATTTATTTTGTTTTTTTATAAAAAAATCTGATTTATTAATTTATTTTGATTTTCTATCTTTCTTTTTTGGGGATGTCTAAAGCGGAGTTAATCTCGTGATCAATGTAAATTATGTCACCTGTATCACATCCAACCACTTTTTAGTTTTTATTAAGTATTCTGGGAACTTGGAATTTTTTTTCGGTGCAAAATCCTATTTGTCAGATCCCTTATTCGTCACATAATTAATTTCTTGATGCCATAATTCCGGCCAAAACAACTCCGCTTATAGACGGGCTCATTTTTTGAAAATTTGTTTCTATTTTCATATATTTGTATATACTATGATTAATCTAAAAAAAAAAAATATTATCAAAAAAAAAGGATGTTGATTTAATTTCTTTTTTTTTTATAATAGAAACACAAATATAAAATAATAAAGATAAAATAAAATTATATATACCTGCTTAATTATCAATAATTTTATAAATTTTAGTTCAAAATTACTTTAATTTTAAATTTTTATTAAAATTAGCTGATTTAATATTCATGTAGTTTGTAATTCTAATGATATATATACAAATTAACTTTTTTTTATTTTGATTAATTTTGGCATTTAGTTTAAGAAAAACACCTTTAAAGTTTTAATAAATTTATTTAGTAAGTCTGAAATCACTTAAACATTTATATTCATTAAAGTTGGCTTAGTATTTATAATATTTATCAAATTAATGATACATAAATTATTTTGACTTATTTTGACATTTATTACTTAAATCTTAATTTTATTAAAATTAGTTTAATAATTGTAAAGTTATAATACTAATATTATATGAATTAAATTTTTTTGATATTTTATATAATTTTAGTACCTAAGTTAAGAAATCGCCTATAATAGTCTAAATAATGTTATTTAAAAAATCTAAAATTATTTAAATCTTAATCTCATTAAGATTAATCTAATATTAAAGTTTTAAAATAAACTAAAAAATTAATTAAAAAAAAAAAAAGTTATTTTTAATAGTTCTATTAATTTTTAAAAAAATAAATTTAAAATAAAAATATTAATTATTAATTAAAATTAAAATAATTTTAAATAAATTTTGGTAAATTATCAATTAATAATAATATTTAAATTTTTAATTTTTTTTATATAAATCTAATTTTGTAAATTTTTATTAATTATTAAAAAAAAAAAAGAAATATTTCAATTATAAAAAATAGATTATTTTTTAATTATTCAAAATTTTTAGTTTAAAAATTCTTTTAATAATTTTTATAAATCATTTTCTAATATAATATTTCAAATTTAACAATGTTAAAAATTATGATAATAAAATTTTTGATAACTTTTTAATATTTTGTTTTAATAAATTAATTATATCTTTAATTAATATATTATTATAAAATTATTTTAAAATTTAATATGATAAATTTTTTATATATAATAATAAGTAAAATAATTCTATAAATAGGATTCTAAAATAGTTCTATATATATATATAATATAAAGATATTTACCAATTTAGAATAACTATAAAATTAAGAAACTGCATTTGCTTATTTTTCGCAAAATTTTGCAAATGTTACTTATTTATTTTAATTATTTTTGTGATATTAAGAATTTAATTATTATTTTTATATATTTTTAATCTAATTATATATTTATGTGATTTATCTTTACAGTTAATACTCTTTATAATAAACTGATAGTTCTATTAAAAAAAAAGTTCATTATATATATTACTAGCTTTCTATATGAACTATTACACTTTTTATAATAAACTCTTATTAAAATTTAAAAATTATGAGTTTATTATATTTAGCATTCATTATAAAAAGGTTTATTATAACCAGTTTTAACTGTATATATTTCATAAAATTTATTCTACAAGATAATCTTTAAACTCTTTTATTTAGTATATTATTTTAATTAAAAATATCATTTACTAAATACTGTATATTAAAAATTATTAAAATACGAGTATTATATTTATATAATGATTGTAAAAAAGTAATATATTTACAAATAAAATAGTATAGTAAAAATGTGATTTTAGAATTAATTTAAAAATGTAATCAAGAAAAGTTCTAATCTTTATCTAATTTAATTTCTACTATACATTGTAAAATAAAAAATAGATGTTTAAATTAGTCTAGACTTTTTTTTATTATTATAAGAGTATTGAATCTTTAATTAAATTTTAAAAAGATAATAAAACTAAGATAATTACTCAAAAATTTATAAGTGAAGATTTATAATAATGTCAAAGATTATTCTTAAAATAAAAATATATAAAATAAACAAATAATATATATATTAAAATATTTCAAATATTATATTTCAGAGATTTTAAGTTAATACAGCAAATTAATACAATATCATATAATAAGTTTATTAATAATTAAAGGAAATTGCAAAGGAATGCAAAGGTTAACAAATAAATTATAAATAGTTTAAATAATTAATGCAATTACAAAAATTGTAAAAAATAAGTTTTATACTTGATTAATTATACTTCTTTATTATTATAATAATAAATTCAATATCTAAAAGATTAACATTTAGTTAATAAACTTTTATTAGAAAGATAATGAGATTTAATGAAAATACAAAGATATTTATATATGTTAAATAATTAATAAAATAAATTAAACTAAAAATATTTAATAGAAATAAAGTTAAATTATTATTAAAAAATAAAGTTACTATATCAATATAATTGATAAATCTACATATAATAAAATAGATATGAAAATTAAATGGATTGTTATACTAAAACTAAATTGATAAAAATGATCTATATATAAAAATTAAATTTAAAGAAATAATATTGATATTAGGTTTGCTAATAAAATTTTCTAAATTAAATTTTGCTTATTACATTATTATCCAATATTTTAGTATCTAACTTAATATGAAATTACCTCACTAAATATCAAGAATTATAGTAAAATAAATATAGAAGTTTTAGGATCAGAATTCAAAAATATAATCAATAAAAACTTAAATCTTTTTCTAACTTAATTTTTACTATTGATCTTAAAAACAGAAAATAAACATATAAATAAGTTAAGACTTTTTTTCAATATTTAATATTCTAACTTATTATAAAATTACCAAAGGATAAGGATACTAAGAATTACATTCTCATTATAACCTTATTTAATTCTTTCTAATATATCAAAAAAAGTTTATACTATGCTATTTACTATTAGAAGTATTACTAAATATAATCAAATAAAATAAAATCTATAATTTTGAGTAATTTTAGTTATTAAATTTTATTATATAATTATGATCAACAGAGTGAATTAATAAAAATATTTTTATTAAAAAGTGGATTTCTTCTTTTTCTACTGACTATTTCCTATATCCTAAAATTAATTTTAAAAGTAATCTATTAATAAATTTATTAGGTTAAAATTTATTATATCTATACTTATTATAAATATAAATATTTATTTTTATGAATAAAAAAATTAAAAGTCATAGCTTATGATTTAGTTTACAAAATTTTTTTCAATATATAAGAATCTATCAGAAACTATCTTTTTTTTACAAGTTTAAAATCACAAAATCTAACCTTATATATAAATAAATTTAGGTTAGATATAAATTTTTCTGATATAAATGTAAAAAAAATGATTAGGTATAAAATTTTTTGAAGAAAATTAGTCTATATAATCTCTAAATAAATACTTATTCAAAGTTCTTTCTTATAGCCTATTAAAATATTGAATCATATAGAACTCACTATAATATTTTTTAAATAGTTTAAATTTATAATTAGATAAAATATTTCAAATATTATAAGAAAAATGTTTTCTATCCTTCTAATATTTATGACATTCTTTAAGATGATAGTAAGTATATTTATAAACATCTTTAATTCTAAGTAAATAGTTGCAAAAATATTTGCCTATTATGGTAATTATAAATAAATATTATATTTTAATAAAAGATATTATTATATTAATATAAGCACAATGTGACGGGTAAAATTTTAGATAGATTTAATTGGTAGAATAGGAAGTCAATTTTATTGCCATGTAGATCTTCTATGA